TGTTCCATGAATAAAAATGAAGAAAAATTAGCTTTCATTTGCTTTACCTAACCCAGGCTTAAACATCGAATTAACTGATAAGAACAGAACCTCCTTGCCTCTTCTGAAGTTGATCCCTGGAGCCAGAAAGGTTGGAGATACCTAGTCTAGATCTCACCACCAGGCTCTGGAAAATGTAGCACGTTGCTTATCTTCAGAACCAAGCTTTTTTTAAAAAAATACAACCATGTAAAGCAAACATAATTTTGTCTTGCTTTTCTTCTAACTAATATGGAAACCATCGGCATGACTTGCTTTCAATGTCTCTTAAAGAATATAAGGCAGACTGATCTAATACTCATATAATTCCTTGGATAGGATCCCAAATAGTATATAGGATCCTTTTTCGCATGGTGAACGAAAAAGAAGAAATTTATATATTCTTAAAGCTCTTACTGCCTGATCATAAAACACTCTTTTTGGCAGATGCCTGAAGAAGCTTAAAACTTTCTTAGAGCAGGTAAATGTGGCCCGTATGTTATTAGAATTAAAGCATGGATTAGGGAGAAGGATTGTCTGTTAAACCAATTACTGGGGAGAAAAATAAAATCTCAAAGAAATTCTGGATCAAACAAGGCAGCATCTTTGCTGAGTTAAGAGATTAATGTGGTGTATCGCACAACTCTTAAAAAGGCTGCTGTAACAAATTAAAAGAATTATAATTCCACTTCATTGGTTGGAGTCATGCACTAGTCTGGCTGAACATTTAGTGCTGAAAACTCAGAACTCACTTTGGATATATATATATATATAAAGCTGTGCTAAACATTCACTGTCTCTTTTATTATGACTTCAGTTCTTAAGACATTTAAAGTGGGCATCAAAGTGTGTTATAAAAATTTCAAAGGTTTTAATCGTGTTGGGAGTCTTGGACTAGTTGAAGTTGGCTGTGTTTTGCTTGACCATCATTTATTCATAGATTATAATTTTGTCAGTTTTTACAGCTTATAAAGCCAGAAATCCATGATTCACAAACTAGAGTCCAGGTTTCCAAGAACACGCTAAACTAAACTAAAAACATTATGATACCATAGTTTGACTAAAGGGTGTCAGAATATTGTTCAGCATGATTTTCCTATGAATCATAGTTTTAGGTAGAGAATTTCTTTGATGAGAAACTTCATTTTAAAAAAATACACTGCTTTTACCAAACTATCAATACCCAGATAGATATGTAGGCTTTATGGATCTAAATGGTAATGCATAAATACACGCACAGTGGCCATTATATGAAATATTTTTCTTCTAATATTAGAAAATGGTGTGCTTGTTTTAATTGATTATACAACTGCATTATCAAATTTTGCAGTATTGTGTGGTCCCCCTGAAAGGATGTTTTAAAAATCTCACATACAGAAATAAAACCAATGATTTTGCTGGTCATAACATGGAGCAATAATCAATGGACCTCTGACTTGGAATAATTACCATTATAACATCTACAGCAAGCAAAAAATAGCATCTTAACTAAGTTCTAAATTAAAACTTTTTCATTGGAAATAAGCGGAAAGCCCATCCCTTGTAACCGTGATGGCAAACCTATGGCACCTATGGAACCAATGGAACCTATGGTAGTGCCATCTTTGCCGGCATGCGAGCTGCAGGTAAACTTATCTCACTGTGCATGTGTGCACCTCACAGCTGATTTTCAGTGGGTTTGAGGCCTTTTTCAGCCTCCCAAAGGTTTAAGGAAGGCTTCTGCAGGCCTTGCAGGCCAAAAACTAGCCCCATTTCATCACTTCATGTTTTTCCTGAAAATACTAGAAGTGACGAAACAGGGCTAGTTTTTGGCCTGCAAAAGCCTGCAGAAGCTTTCCTCAAGACTCTGGGAGGCCGAAAAAGGCCTCAAACTGGCTGAAAATCAGCTGTGAGGTGCAATGCAGGTAAAGGGGCGACGGGGGTGGGTGGGTGGGGATTGCAGACACATGCATAGGGGGTGTGGAGGGGCGTGCATTGCCTTCTGGGTGCTGGCGCATGAACGTGCAAGCGTGCACACAATTTTTGGCACAGGAGCCCAAAAAGGTTAGCCACCACTGCCTTATAATGTTTTCATAAGAAGTAGCTAATGTTATGGCTGGTTCAAAGAACCGCCAAATCCCACCCCTGGCTCCTTTTAACTGATCGAGTCTCTGAAAATCTTTCTCAAAGGACATGGGAGAGATGTGTTATTGTACATATGTCCCGGGTCAGACCATACATTTATTCTGACATTTTTATTAATATGGGTATTATTAAGTTATGAAATGGGTCCAACTCTGACCCTTGATTGAGCTGCAGTTCTAGGTAGCCCTAGTCAGGACTGAAGGATGCTGGATGTTGTAGTTTAGAAACATCTGAAAGAGGATAGATGTTTTGACCTAGGCCTCACAAAACCACGAAGCAGACTCCTCGTCTCCACAAAACCCCTTTTATTTAGGCTAATGTGAATTCCTATCATTCATATCCAGCAAAGTCCTGGCAAACAGTCTTTCAAGAGTGATTTACAACCACAGACCTTATCAGGCTTGGAGAGCTGCCAGGCCAATAGCTTCCAAGAGCAATGCTGTACCAGAAAATACTTGGCAAGGAGTCAGGAACAAATCTTCACCCTAATTAAATAAACTAATTGTCTCCTGCAAACACCGCTCCCCTTTTACTCCTCTTTATTCCCTATGGGAGGGGCCATTCACCATCCACCTGAGCCTTTACTCCCAAGTCCACCCTTGTTCCTAAATTGTTTCCTTCTCCTGGCAGCTCTGTGCATGCACACACTGGGAACAGGCTCCAGCTGTTCTTCTTCCCCACTTATCTCCGACTCCAAAGGCTGCTGATAACTGTCGGATGGCCCTGGCCCCATCTCTGCCTCTGATGCAGAGCCCTCGTCAGAGTCTTCCCCCGACTCCAGGATTGGCCCATGTTCCACCCCTACCTCCTCACTGTCTGGGTCTGTCACCAACTCCACTGGCCGCTGGCAGGCCACAACAATAGTAACACCACCTACTTTGTAAAAAATCTCAAGATTTGGTCAGTTAGACACCCCATTAAAACCTCCATTTAAAGCTGAATGTTAAATTGTGGGTTTATTCTAATCCTAACAAGAATTCCACCCAAGGGTAAGGCAAAGTCAGTGTACATTGTCCCCTCAAAATGGGAAGGGATAAGTCCTAGAATCTTTTTTTTTAAATATCCCTCTTCCCTTTCTTGAATCTTTCTATTGACTTGAGAGTTGACCAAATGCCTTTTCTTTATGTCTAGACAGTTTGTCCAGCCATCCTGAAAATTTGCTGGTAACATTAATCGTGCCAGACAAGAAACATTTAACCACCCATGTGGAAGTTGTAAACATGGGGTTTGTTCCTTTTCCGTTCCTGCCGTTCTTTCATTCCTTGGTTCATTGTACACTCTTGAGTAAGGCCTGCTGGTGCATTTTGCACACAGATGTTTCTACTCCAGATGTGGGCTTACAGAGGACACAGCTTGGCCTTTGTTCACAGCACCTGCTAATGATCTTGAAGTTTATGTACATGAGAACCATCATTTATCACTGCACAACATGCCTCAGCCTCCTCTTTCTCCAATCTTATCTTTATTTGAGAAGCAGAAGGGAAGGGAAATTGGAGTGGTAAATGACTATGGAGGTTATCCATCCTCCAGGTCATGGTTGACCCAAAGGTGCTTTTTCAAGAGGCGACTGGGCTTTCTGTTTCTTTTTCTTTTTGAAGATGTTTTGCTTCTCATCCAAGAAACATCAACTTGTGTGAATAAATGGTGGGGAATGGAAGGATTTATACTCCTTGCAGACAGCTGGTCATTTGCATCCTTTTAGAGAGTCATTGAGGCCACCTGGAGGTTCATCTGTGCCCTCATGCCTTCACCTGAATAGATGCAGGGAGCATGGACTCATCCCCAACAGCCTGCACCTGCATCCAATTGTGAAGGAACACAGGGCAGAAGACATCCTGCAGAAAGAGACAACACAGTCCTTTCAACAGTTCCAAGAAGGCTCCACACCCATTTGGTGGCCCTGAGGAGACAGAGAAACCTCCTAATGGCCTCAACGACTTTCTAAAAGGATACAAATGACCAGCTGTCTGCAAGGAATATAAATTCTTCCGTTCCCCACCATCCAGTCAGAGCTGAAGAAGCTTCTTTGATGGGAAGCAAAATGTCTTCAAAGAAAAATAAAGAAAGTCCAATTGCTTCTTGAGAAGGCACCTTAGGAACAATTTTAGTGGTAGTTTTAGACCCTTGGGTAGGTTCATCAACACATGCTAAATTAACTGGCTGAATTATTTTTGTTGCTTCTCTTCGTTACGTTGGGCAAAGGTGCCACCGATCTAGATCAGAGAGATTGGATTGCTGGGGTTGTTTTTTTTCCCCTGTTAGTTCCAAAAAATGTATTAATGTGAGACTCAAAAGGGCTTGAAGTTGGTGAAATGAGAACTAATGATTCTCAGGCCAATTCTCTCTCTTTCTTTGAAGAAAGAGATGGCCCAAAAAACCTGTTTGCTTAAAATGGTGGAATGAAAAACCTGGGTGGAATGGGAAAATTCACCATGGTCAAGTCACCACGGCCATTTTACCACAGCCAACTTGCCACAGGACAGCTTTCTGTGGGACAATAAACCAGTGGAACAGCTTGCCACCAGAAATTATGGGTGCTCCAATACTGGGGGTTTTTAAGAAGAGACTGGAAAATCACTTGTCTAGAATGACATAAGATCTCCTGTTTGAGCAGGCGGTTGGGCTAGAAATCTCCAAGGTCCTTTCCAGCTCTATTCCATTTGATTGATATTGATTGATTGATTGATTGTCTGATTGATTGATTGAAATGGTCTTGGGTCTCCTGCTTGAGCAGGCGTTGGATTAGAAGCCCTCCAAGTCCCTTCCAAGTCCATTATTCTGTATTCTATTCTAATGTGGCTTGTTGTGATGTAACATTTATGTGCAGGTTCATCCATTTTTTACCCTCTGCAGCATGGTTGTGGCAATTTTGTTCGGGTGATACAGATGTTCAACCGTACCCATTTATACGTTTGTGGTAGTGGAGCATTCAGTCCCGTCTGCGCATACCTCAACAGAGGACGAAGATCTGAAGTAAGTAGATTCTTTAAAATGGTTTTATCTCTTGATCAGTTCAAAGTCTGTACAGAGTCTCAGTCATCCAAGTCATGGTTGTCCCAGGGGTGGGATTCAAAAATCCCAGCAACTGGTTTGCTGCCCAGTTGCTGGGTGGGCACAGCCATGGTGGATGTGGCCTACCAGAACCTCTGCAAGGGCCATTCTTCACCTTTCCCAGAGTCCGGAGGCTTTCCTTGGGCCTCTGGGAGGGAGAAAATGGCCTTCCCCAGGCTCTGGAGGCCTCCAGAATCTGGAAACAAGTCCGTTTCACAACTTCTGGTACTTCCGGAAGGGCTGTTTTTCCCCTTCCAGAGGGAGTCGGTCAGTTTAAATACTGGTTCAGCAAACCAGATGCAAATTTAACATCCAGTTCACCCAAACTGGTCCAAACCGGTAGAATCTCACCCCTTTGTTGTCTCAAAGGTGCTTTTTCAGGAGGCAATTGGACTTTCTGGTTTTCCTTTGAAGTCATTTCACTTCTCATCCAAAAAGCTTCCTTAGCTCTGACATTCTCCACTATCCTGTCAGAGCTGAAGAAGCTTCTTGGATGAGAAGCAAAACATCTTCAAAACAAAAAACAAGCAAGTCCAGTTGCCTCCTGAAAAAAGCATTTTTGGGTCTTGATTAGTTGCTAACCTACATTTACATTTTCCAAGTAAATAGGTTTGTTTTCTTAAAATGCAAACATTTCCTAAAGCGGATCATTTTTTCAGGAATTCTTGATTTGCTTAAACCTAAGCGCTATTTTTAATTTTTGGACAACTCCTCTCTCAATCACATTTATTGCAAGATCCTTGCTTGGTTAGCATCATGTGCTTGGTGCTAACTCAAGTACACGAAGCTAGCCAAACAAGGATCACACAATATGTGTGGTTGCATCCAGTGTCATGGAACAGCTGAGATAAGGAATTAGATTTTCCCTCGGGTCAGCCTTGTTGAGTTAACAGTTTTCCCAAAGAGATTTCTTTTACTCTGTGCATTGATCAAGAGAGGATAATGGATGCATCAACATTTCAGAGGAATTCTGGTGAACCTTGCTTGATTTCATGTTATTTTCAAATGTTTTGGTTTCCAGTTTGGGGGGTGGGTGGGGAGAATAGGAATGGCTTCCAGCAAAACTGGTTCAAGGCCTTTTTGTACTGTCTGAGCTTAGTTGTTTTCTTGCAGATGTTTCATTACCCAAACTGTCATGCCCTGAATCCAAGGAGGAAGATGAACAGCTGAGAGGGAACGGGAGTGTGGCTCTGTTGGCTGTAGAGGAAACTGGGGAAGAGCAAAGTCCAGCAGGGCAGAGCAGGGGCAAGATAGAACAAGGGAGAGGGAGTTCAGAGGAAGACCCAGGCCCACACCTCTTCATCCTATGGCACGCAGGGAGGAATGGAGAAGGGAGCAACGTGAGTTGCATGGCTTACGAGGGAGGAAAGGGCCCTGATTCCCTTCATTAGCGACACCTGGGAAGAGAGTTTAAGAGAGCTGCATACTGAGTGCGATGTCTGATGGGAGCAAACGTGATTTTATCTTGTGTTGACTTCACTTATCTGTGTTCCTGGTGTCTTCCCAACTGTGTTGAATTATGGCTGTTCCTTCACGTCTGGAATTCCTTCTCCTGCCTTATCGAATTAATTACCTCATTTTGCCTTGCTTGCACTTATAGTTATAGATTTTGTTGACCATGTTTTGGACTTGATTCTCTGTAGCCAAAGGGTGTTCCTGGGAGAGTTTTTCTCTAGCTCAGAAGGTATCCTGGACATTGGGGGCAAAGTTGGAGCTAATAAAGTGACTCCTACTGGTTATCAGACTGTGTTGCCTTTGTTCCACGACCCTTTGGGTCATCACACAAAGTAGGTCACATCATCAGTTGCAAGTGGGTTGTCACAACTTCAATACATATATAGGGAGTTCTTGACTTATGGCCGGTCATTTAGTGACTCTCAAAGTTACAACAGCCCTGAAAAAAGGGACCTATTTTGGGACTCAACTGCGGTCGTAACTCGAAGACTATTGTGCAGCCTTTTAGTCTCCTTTTCATCTAGCCCTACTTTTGCAGAATTGGCCAAATTTGGCAGAACGTTTCTTCCTTTCCCTTGAACTGGGAGAGAAAACGTTTGTGGGATTTTTCAGACTGTCTCCTTCCACATCTTGGGAACAAATGGCTAGGAATGTGAAGAGAGCCATTTAAAAAAAGGGGCGGGGAGGGTTAAATATGTTTTTCCTGCACACAAATTCCTTGTGTGTCCAATCACTTTTGGCCAATAAAGAATTCTATTCTAGTCTATTCAAAATCTCACAAAGAGCAGGACAAAATGTTTAATTTCTCCAGTGGGTTGACATAAACATGGCATGCATTAATTTATAATAACGTGCTACATTTCAGGATAAAGCAAAAGACCCCAAGCGAGTGATATGTCAGCTGGACTGTCTCTTTAACCACATGCCTACCATCAATCAATCAAATAAACTACTGCCTCAAACATCTGGAGTCTGCAAGGCACTTGACGGCCAAGCTGTAGCTTTTCATGGCTCTTATTGTGGAAGCCAACAATAGCCAAGCTGTTTCAACCTTAAGGATTTAAAGGGTCCCTCCTATTGCACGGCTGGCATCTATGCATTGTAATTGGTCCAAGTGGATTTATTTTTAGCATCCCAGAGGCAAGATTAATGGGAAATGGTACCACCTTATCAATGAAGGAGGCCTGGCCTTCATTTGATTTTCTAATGCTATTTGTATTCTTGGTCTTCAAAGGACGGTTTTGCTGGGAAAAGGATAAGGGTGAGGAAGGGAAAGGAGAGAAAAGAAAGAAAAAACATTGAGGAAAGGAAAATAAAATAAAATAAATAAAATAAAATATAAAATAAATAAAATAAAATAATTAAAATAAAATAAATAAAATATAAAATAAAATAAATGAAAAATAAATAAAATGGAAAGGAAAGTAAAATAAAAAGGAAAGGAAAGGAAAGGAAAGGAAAGAAAGATAAAAGGAAAAATGAATAAGATAAAAGAAAAGAAAACTAAATTAAAAGGAGAGGAAAGTAGAAGAGCGAGGAGTGGGGAGGAAGGAAGGAAGGAAGGAAGGAAGGAAGGTTTTTTTTCTAGTTTTGTCTGATGAGATCATAAGCTGACTTTGCATGATAGCTGACATCAAACTGTTGAAAAATTAGCTAAACCTTGATACTCCTAAGTTCTTGGTGCTCTCTGAGTTTGCTGGTTTTCTTGGAGATGTTTCATGACCCAACTAGATCAGGGGTCGCCAAACTTTTGGACCTCAGGGACCACCAAACTCATAATTTTAAATCCCAGGAACCACTAACTGGTTCTGGGGGCATGGCCTAATTTGTGGGTGTGGCTTGGTGGTCATGTGACTGGCTGAGCATGGCTTGTATGTAAATATTATAAATATTGATATAAATATTGATATATATTTTTTAAAGAGCAACTTTTACCCAAAATCAGGCAAAGCAGGAAGGCAGATTGAGTTGCTCACAGAATCACAGATTCATTCAGAGATCTATTTATCTTCCATTGGTTTGCTCAGTCTCTCAAATTTGCTTGCCGTGAGTCTGAACTGAATAATAGAACCTTCAGTCTTAAAGGAGGTTTGGCTGTGCTTAGAAGCAGAGCCGAAGATCTAAAGACTAGCTAGAAAGCAAGAAATCCAACCATTTCCTACTTCCTAGCTAATCTAAATCTCCCGGCACAGCAGAACAGATGATGGTCCGAAAAAGGAAAAACAGAAATTTAGCAGGCAAGTTTACTGGGTAATGAGTGAGTGGGCAGGGAGGGTTCCTGCAGACCATGTGGGTGGCACAGCCTTGTGTTTCTGCACAGCCTGATTTAATTGCTTGGGGGGGGGGTGCTCTGGGGGTGACATTTCTCTGCGGCCCACCAAAATTTTCTCGTAGCCCACCGGTTGGTGACTGCTGAACTAGATAATATTATGCTAGTGCTGTCAATGTTTCCTGGTTGGGTCATGAAACATCTGCAAGAAAACAAGCAAGATCAGAGAGCACCAAGTACCCCACAGTCATCGTCCTCCTCCTCCTCTTCCTCCCTTCTAGCACTGATAATGTTCCCTAGTTGGGTCATGAAACATCTGCAAGAAAACCACCAAGCACCAAGGAGCCCTCAGTTCAACCCTGAGCTACAAACATTCCCTTCTATTGGTACTTTCCCAATCTATATCACATTATGGAACAGCGGTGGCATTTCTATTACGAAATGCCCCCTTGATGGACAGTTTGAGCAGGTGCTAATGCTTCCATTGCTAATTCGTCATATTGCAACTTTTATTCACAGGGGACATAACAGCCCATTCATATGTGGTGTGCTTTAATGGCCTCCTTTATGAGTGTGGGTGATCCTTATTAATGTTGGCAGCTAAAATGCTCATGTCACAACCACTTTGCACCAATTTTGAAAAGCATGGATCATTTTGTGTGTTTTGATATGTTTTGGAGATAGGATGAAGACGGAATTATAACTTAAAATAGGCATATGTCACCATTTTTAGATCTGAGATGGAGGGATGGCTAGTAGGTTAAAAGGCTAGCAATAGCAATAGCACTTAGACTTATATACCACTTCACAGTGCTTTACAGTCCTTTCTAAGTTGTTTACAAAGTCGGTCTGTTGCCCCTAACAATCCAGGTTTACATTTTACCCACCTTGGAAGAATGGAAGGCTGAATCAACCTTGAGCCAGTTAGGATCGAACCCCTGGCAGTGGGCAGAGTCAGCCTGCCATACTGCATTCTAACCACTGCACCACCAGGAAGGAGAGAAGGAATAGCAACAGCAGTTAGATTTATATACTGCTCCATTATGATTCACAGTCCTCTCTAAATCATTTACAGAGTCAGCCTATTGCCCCCAACAATCTGGGTCCTCATTTTACCCACCTCAAAAGGATGGAAGGCTGACTCAACCTTGAGCTGGTCAGGATCAAACTTCTGACAGTCAGCAGTGAGTTATCCTCAAAACTACATCCTAACCACTGCGGAGGAAGGAAGGAAGGAAGGAAGGAAGGAAGGAAGGAAGGAAGGAAGGAAGGAAGGAAGGAAGGAAGGAAGGAAGGAAGGAAGGAAGGAAGGAAAGATAAGGGGAGGGAGGAAGGAAGGAAAAAGGCAAAGGTAGGGAAGATAAGGGAAGGGAGGGAGGAAGGAAGGAAGATAGCAATAGCAATCGCACTTAGACTTATATACCACTTTTCAGTGCTTTACAGCCCTCTCTAAATGGTTTACAGAGTTGGCATATTGCCCAACAATTTGGGGCCACATTTTACCAAAAAAGAAAGAAAGAAAGAAAGAAAGAAAGAAAGAAAGAAAGAAAGAAAGAAAGAAAGAAAGAAAGAAAGGAGATAGCAATATCAATAGCACTTAGACTTATATACCACTTTACAGTGCTGTACAACCCTCTCTAAGCAGTTTACAGAGTCAGCCTCTTATGCCCAACAATCTGGGTCCTCATTTTACTGACCTTGGATACACAGATGGCTGAGTCAACCTTGAGCTGGTCAGGATTAAACTCCTGGCTGTGGCCAGTGAGTTAGCCTGCAATACTGCTTTCTCACCACTGCGTCACCATGGCTCTTTCTGTTCCAGATGCAACATAAAAAATTAACAGTTGCTAATCTTAACGCTGGCTACCTTTTCACAGAACTGGATCCTGATCAGGCATATTAAACTTCACATTCACAGTCTTGCTTGTTCTCTCTCTCTCTTACAGGAGCAAGTTTTCAAGATTGACTCCAAAGGGGAATCAGGAAAGGGACGCTGCTCTTTCAACCCCAGTGCAAACACGGTCTCTCTTATGATCAGTAAGTCCAAACAAGCCAGGATTGGGGAGGCTTCAATCAGGAGGTGCTGAGAATGAAAGGATGGGGTGATATAAACAGATTGAGCCATGGGGCAAAGAGAAGTCACCAAGGAGGGGGGAAAGTTGTCTGCAGATGATGGTTTGCAGAGTGAATGTTTCTCCAGATCAAGAGAGTGAAGTAGCATGTCATTCCAGGTAACTAATTTCCATGATTTTAATGGCTGCAAATGTTGGCCAAGTTGGCAGAGATGGCTACATTGATTGCTTTGCTTAAAGAAGAATAGAATAGAATAGAATAGAATAGAATAGAATAGAATAGAATAGAATAGAATAGAATAGAATAGAATAGAATAGAATAGAATAGAA